TTTTGCAAAACACGGTAGAGTGTACCCCACTTAAAGGGCGCATCGTGTGCCCTTTTGCACAGGTTCAAGCTAGTATTCAACCTTCTTTTAAAACAAATCATAATCGATACGCATAGTAATCATCATGCAACATTGTCAATACAAATTCTAAGGCGTACGCATACATTCTATGTATCCTGCAAATCACCGTAGATGGCATGTCCCATGAGACACACCGAAAAGGCTCCGTAACTTTGCAAAAGGACGCCTAGAGCGCCCTTCTAGAAGGAAATATCAATGAGTTGTATACTATAATTTATTGAGGATACTCGCGAAAGGGTTAAAACGCCACAGCAAAGTACAGCTAAAATCTTATTAGATTTATTTTGCATATCAAATGATTGATATGATAAGCGGTAAATTTTCTTGAGTGGCAAGAAAAGTCCTCGAGGTATTGCAAGGGGCTTGGTAATTTGGTCATATCATTATTGTGCTGCAAAGTACGTTCGACTGTGTAGATATCCTCGTACTGTGTGAAACATAATCTTGATACTATGCAGTACAAAAAGATCACACAGTCCTTCCGGTGGATCAGAAAGAATGGGTATGGTGTTGATAGATCAAATTTACACTCGGTCACGCTTTTGTTGTAGCTACTATCGTGAAAAATAAATCAGGTTTGGAACAATTCAAACGCAGTGAATCGGTTTTCCTGGGACGCTGAAGAACGGACATAAAGGCGGCCAGGACTATCCGAAACGGCGCTTACATGATATCACGACATAAGAAGGCCCCTGAAATGGTAGTCGGGATTTTGAAGAGATGCTAAATCAGTACATCTGGCGACTGGTGCAAGTGCCAATAAGAAAACGACTGATGCATTTTAGGATGGTGCCGTGAATGTATATTCTAACTCTGTTTTGTACAACTGACTACGGTCAGTCGGAAGACGTACCTTGCCCCCAATTAGTCAATGACTACCACGCTAACATGGGAGGAGTGGAGGTGCATTATTAACTTCGTCTTCAGTCGAGTTATGTTATCCCTTCAAGAAGTACGAGTTATACTTTAGGTCATAGTTGATATGGGTGATGAGCTTATCTTGACATCCTGTAGTCAGAGTTCAGGACTCTTCGCCTTAGCTCTCACCAATACATCATTGTCCGACAAGTGCAAGCTGTCGACAGCAAGGGCGCTGTGTCGCATTTTGAGTTTTACCTGCATTCTCCGTCTATGAATATTCAGCATGATGACGTTATACGAGGCACGCCAAAAATATTTGTCTCCAAAACTGGTTGACCCGAAAGTTACCTATGCAACGTTTATGGATATTACTGATAAAAGGATTCAAAACGAACATTTTGCAATCCGGAATAATGTTCTCAATAGAGTACATTATGTTGGTTTTCTCGAAACAAGTCTACAAATGGACCCGGTTTGGAAAGTAATGATAGCGTTCCAAGTCAATGAATAGGAACGCGTCCCAGACCCAGGCACGAACAATGTAGTGTACGCTGACCTGGGCGTCGCCCAAAAATGCGAAAGGCAGACTTTCGGCTGCAGACGGTAGCGCCAGGTCGCTTGGGCCCGCTCTTGGAATTGGACTTGGGTATTCAGGTACATGAGCTGATTGCGCTGCCGCTGCACACCTTTCTGTAGCGCGTCCCTAGTGTACACGCCAAAGTAGGCATCAGAGGAGCAGGCCGGGCCAGCACAGGGCGCATCATGGGCCGGTGTGAGAAAATCTCTCTTTAGAGAGCGTTGTTCGCTTATATCAGACCGCACATCGAATAGTGGTCTGACAGCATCTCCTGTTGCTGATATAGCACAAAGGTACGGTCCTCTTCTCGCACATTGTGGCACGGTCAGCTAAACATTAGGGCGACACAATCACGGCCTAACAAGTCAACCTTTTGGACATAGCCTATCTATGTCCAAACCATAACATCTTATTATCCCAGCTGGTAAACCAGAATTTGAGGAATCAAGGATGAGTCGATACATCTTATCGCAGAGCCTTTTGCAGTAAAGCATTTGTCTGGCTCTGCCTCCGCTCAAGTTTTGAGGTTATTTTTCGGATAGGCTTCAGCTTATAGTAGTAGACTTAATATACAGTGGCTTTGAAGACTGTGCAGTAAATCCCATTGCTTCTGTCAAGGTACTATTTCTGTGTTTGATTATGTCCTAACCAGGTTCCCGGTCAGAGATTATGTGGATGTATGTCTGACGTAGCAGTCGGGCTAGTTGTCAAGCGAAACGTCTTTACTTATATCAAGGACCTGGAATTTGTATGATTTGATCCGATGCTCTGCTCACTGTTATGACATTATGTTTTTTTACAACTGCTAACTCTGCTTTACAAACATAACGTGATAGGTGTTGATACAGATGGCTAACCGCCTGTTGGAGGATGGTGGCGGCTGTGGTCACAACATGCTTGGTGATTGTCGGTGTCGGAGAGGGGGGGGCTACGGTCACATGATCTGGTAGCGGAAAAGGGCTAAGCCGCCCGGATTTACTATCGGAGGACGTGATCACGTGTATTTATTTTAGTATGATATGACAAGTTACTCAGTTTCCTGCCTACGCGTAATTCCAGCTTCTTGAATTGTCTGATTGTCTGCTTCAGTTCGGCTGATTTCCCCTCATCTCGCGACAGAATTCTCCATTATCTCTTCTCGTTTCTCCATTTCTTGCATTTGCCCTTTTTCCACATTCAACTGGTACGCCTTGTGTACTTCCGTTTTGGTGTCTTGGGGATGTGGCTCAACGCAGGGTTGATGGATTTGTGCAAGGTACATTTTTACACTCATACTCGGCGTCTCGCTGTTTCGCCCGTTGGTCATGCGGAAATTCATGACATCCATCCATCTTCTTTCGAACGCTTTGACATTGCGACAAGTTCACCAGTACGATTAGGGTCTCAACCGCGTGCTGAGTCCGTATAACGCATAAGGCACCTGTGGCCTCATCATAAGCAGTCGGGCTTCTGGAATTGACTGTTCAGGAATCTCCATTTGGCGCCGTCTAGGGAAGCTTGATTGAAATTTTGCAGGTTCTCCATCCAACGTTTGGGAGATTGTAGCATCGATACAATGAAGCTGTTCCACCACTCAACCGCGGCGGTGGGACTTGCTCGTTTAGCAGGGTCGTAGTTGGACCTCTTAGGGGACACGCATAAACGCTTCTGCAAGAACAGGGCGATGAAGGTATCGTTGCGATCCTTTCTAGCAGGTACAGCTAACGCATCAAACCTTGAGCGATCGAACTGCGCAACGGCAACACCCACCGGCTGATACCCAATGGTGCGTGGGTTGAGCTCAGCTAGACCAAAGTAGTATGTGGGCATTATTTGACGTGTAGACCAAAACCCGCGTTCGCTGCAGCGCTTCTCCAACTTCCGGCACTTGATCCAGGAGATATCTGTCCTTCTGGCGAAAGCCACAACCTTCTGGTTTGCCTTCGTCGAGTTCTTTGAACGGAGCACCACCACAGAAACGACGACTGTTACGATTATTCATGGCGATATGTGCAGCTGCGATTATCTACTTCTCGTGATGGTAATTCAGGGCTTGGTACGGATAATGATGATAGATGCAGGTAAGTTACCCGCACAAATACATTGAACAGTTAGAGCATTTTTATTACTAGCGGTGCTTGGCAGGAACTATCTATGTAGCCCTATTTATTACTTGAGCAGCGCCGGATTGTAGAGCGGGGAATTCGGAGCCCCGAAGAGGTGAAGCTTGCTCTAGCCGCAGTGGAAGTCGTATTATGTCTCGCATACATTTTGCCGCCCCGAGTTAATCGTCAAATCGAGACAGCTTGGCAACAAAGTAATCCTATAAACAGGCCAGCACCCATACATCGGTCCTTCTAGAATTTCTCGCGAGACTGAATGTGTGCACTCTGTTCTAAAAAGCAGCAGATACTGTACCCAACGTGGAAATGTCAATCTAAAATGGCATTACCAGCAACTCGGGAGCTAGGTCGATCTGGATGTGGCGTAGCCTAAATCGGGGTTAGTGCATGGATTATGTGCTCATTTTTGAATTAAAATGATATCTCCGTGCACCGCCGAATAGGCTGGTTTGACCATACAAAGTTCTATACTAAATTTACATCCTCACCGATGTGGCAAATCATGTTGCAAAAGCTGATCAAACGAACGAGATGGCCACCCCGTCTTTATCGTACTCAACTATAATCAATGCAAACGAATTATTCAACCGTCCATTATCTCTTTTTGTGTTACACTGAAAAATGGACTTTATCAAAAAGCTATCACCACTTGTTCTATGTATTGAAGTCTGTGCTTATGATTTTTACTGTTCTTTTTTGTTGCTCGCATTTCGATGGTATTTTCAGGTTATACTGGGAGGACAGCTTTACCTGACTGAACAGCCTAACCAATTGTATTTCAGCGGCTGCCCCCCCCTCGACTTTATTTGGCAAATGTCGCCTGAGTCCATAGTCCACAGATAATGGCTACCATAACCCAGAATGTCGACTGTATCCGTAGTGTGTACCACAGACTGTAGTAACCAGTTATTGAATTTACGAAATTTATTTTTAAAAAAATGGCTAGGATAGCTGTATTTTCTCTTGTAAGTTAAAATTTACTCAAAATCAATGAAATAACAACTGACGGATTGCTCTCTTTCCTGTGTTTGTTCGCGCCAACCCCGCTCTAAATTGACTAAACCCCATGAATCCTTCTTGTGTAAATTTGTATAGCTGGAATGCATGACCTCAACGCGCTCGGCCGGGGGCTTTGCCCCCGGCTATAATACCCAAATGGTGCTGCCAAAACAAGCTCTCACTGCAACAGCAGCCTTTGCAGGCGGATGTAATGAGTATGTGTTTTTGTATAAGGGCCTAGTATAAAATAAAATAAAGGCACTCCATAGAATTGAGCGACAGTCAAAATCTATTCAGACAAGCTGTCAAAAGTCGTGGTCGCTCCTCAGTGGTACAGTACACATCGTGTTTGCGAGGGGGGGATCTTCTCCGAGAAGATCATGGCCGACGCAAGTATGTACACCGACGACACGGCGGTCGACAGCAGCAGCACTGTGGGCGGCAGCAGCAGCGATGACGACGAGCGCTCGAACCAACAGGAACTCACAGCGCGAGGGAGCTCCGAGAGGCAAGGGCAGCTCAGCGATCAAGATACCGACTTAGACCGCTCCTCCTATTTTGTTGTCTCGGACCCTAACTACACCTATGAGGCTGTCCCGGTGCGCATGTATGTCCTACTTGTGGTGGCTATTTCTAACCGTCCTGCTTGCATACAACAGGCTTTCACGCCGGATGTCAACCGAACAGCGTCAAACCACAAGAAAATTTATGGCAAGCCGATGTCTGTAGGGGAGGTACGTGCACGTATCTTTGGTGTTTCAGTGGGCGCCATGATGGCTCAATTCCGACGTATGCCTAGACGTTAGAGAGATTTCAATGGCACCAGGGGTTCCTTGACTTTCACACCCTCCAGCCAGTACGCAAATCTTCACGCGACCGGGTGGGTATGCGAATTACTTGAGTTCTGTGGCGTAGTCTGACAAATGTTATTATGCAACAGGTTTACGAGCCTAGTTTCAGGTCTACCAACCATGAAGACGCATTTCTAGCCGCCCTTCCGCTCTACGAGATGCATGCGCAGTTTCAGAATGACGATGACTCGAGTTACATCTACGCGTGGTTGCAAGTGTCCCTAAAAGCCTCGAAGGTATGTCACGCGTTCTGTGGTGTAAGATGTACTCCCGACGCTAACGTGCCATTGACCTCTGGGTAGATAACGCTGTCTATGATAAAGCATCGATAGCGCCTGTGCGAGTAGGATATTGAACGCTTAGACGCTTTTCTTGATTCCCATATTGAACACCATATCGCCATGGAGGCAGATGAATCGCACGACAAGAATGCTACCAGGGAGCATACCAAGGAGGGTTTTTTCAAAGAGCTCGAGTATAAAACTCGAGTCCAAGAAGCCGCTGCGCTCGAGTGGCTTGCTGCCTGAACGTATCAAACCGAGATGATGTTTCCTCGTCTTGGGGTATCGTTGATACGCTAGTACGTCGGAAAGTGCTTAGCCCAGCTTCACAGAAGCATACATATTTTGTTAGCGATGCTGAGATGTAATGAAGAAGCCCATGCCTACATATATTCCGTCATCACTTTCTTATTGTACCATAGATCTCAACGTTGCTAACCAGCTTGGCCGCTGTCGATGCCAAGGTTGGCTTCACTCGCCCTCACAGGCGTATCTGTATAAAGGTTTGTATGGCAGGTGTCAAGATTGACTTCGCAGTGAAACATAGATCTCAACGTTGACAACCAGCTTGACCGCCGTCGAGTCAAAGCTGGCTTAGCTCTCTCTTACAGACGTATTTTGTCAAGATCGAATTCGCAGTGAAATATTGACTTGCACCTAATTGTCCGACTCATTCTGCTGCTCGACACCGCTGACCGTACATTCCACCGCGCCGACCATTTCCGCCAGGACTTCCACCACGACCTCCCGCTCGCTCGCATACGGGGGCCTCTCAGTCGCAGTTACTCCTTTTTCATCCTGTCCTGCTGCATCTGCGCCTGGCCGCTCTGGCTGATGCACTTGTACCTCTACGTTTCGCGGTCTGACACTTGGAACCGTTTACTGCGAAGATGACACCGAAGCAGCCCCATCGGCATTCTGAACATTGTCCTCGTATGGCCTTGGCCGTACAGCATCCGAGGAAGCTGTGGCCATTGTTTCCGCGCGTAACTCCTCCTTTGACCGACGTGTTCGGATCCGTCCGACCTTTTCAGAGTGCGGGAGTTGATCTCCGCTCTTCCGTTTCGAGTGCCAAATGTTAACCCCTTGGTTCCCGACGTCGTAAGTTACGACTTTGCCGAATCTCAATGTCGTATAATACGACATAGCTCGATTAACAATAGCATTTGGCTCGAAACGAGATTGCTATACTCTAATCTAGTTTATTTTCGTCGGCAAAAGTATAAGCAAGAGAGGTAAAAATCAGAATTGCACAAAACCACGGATATAGAGCTGTCATCAGAGATGGGTTGTGCATAAGCCGGGGCCGGCTAATGGGGCATTTTGTATAGAGAAAGACGAACGTCCCCTTTTAAGGTTTGCGCGAGTGCCCACTTTCAAGCAAACACAACATCGATCTTAAAGGGGAGAGTAAGGCGTATGTAGCTGTCAAGAGCTCCCACGAGCTCGTAGAATAGCTTCTAAACGCCCGTACACACAATAAACAAGAAAATGATAAAAATCATGGATGAAATGGCGCCTAAATAACTCTCCAAGGGTTGTAGTTGCTATTTCCTCGAGTTTAGGTGCCGAGTACACGTAAGTAAGTATAACCGGAAGTAGACTATGTCTGCCGAGACTTCTAACACGAAGAAATATTTATTTGCAGCCTTATAACAACTGTATGGTGTAGCTGGTTTTGGCAGCGTCAGTGTTGCAGCGTATTTCGCGCCACTTAAATGCCGGATTGGAAGCAAGGGCATGGAGTAGTGCGTAAATAACCTTTATCGTGCGTATATCCCACAAAGACCTCTCTCAATAACTAAATTAAGATGACGAGATTATCCTACTACTAACCAACTTAAGCACGACGTATACTTCGGTATCGCCGGGAACGACGGAGGTCTGGCTCGTACGCGTGTCGTCAACTAGTCAATCCGACCATAACGCCTTATTTGTGCGTATAGAGATCCTCTTCAGCTGCTTTGACAGTCTCCGTGTACGAGGCGATTTCTATAGTACGCGAAGCCCGAGTGCCGCTACCGGTGCGGCCACCCTCGAGAGCAGCATCAATATACCTGCTGCGAATTAGAATAACCGTGGTAGGCTAAACCTTTTCTAGGAACGGTAAAACGAAGCAATTTCGGCATTGCTTCAGCGTTCCGGATTGAGAAACGCCGTCGGTGTAGGCCGTTGCCTCGGCAACAACACTCTATAGAAATGGGCGAGCTGTAGGGCAGATATCGTAAAGCTGACAAACAAAGCGAAGAAGTGAAGCTGCTTATACGGTTATAGAACTGCTTTAGCACTGACATACAAAGTAAGTTAGCACTCCAAGTACCCCTTTGTTGGTTGTAGCGATTACCCTTTTTTTCTTGAATGGGATACAGTTCCCTATTACCTGACCTGTGCATAAGTGAGAGGGAAAATGTTTTAATTGGCTATATATTGATGATTTGGTAATTACAACCTCGCAGTCATCTATCAAGATGGATGTTTTGTGTAGTTCACCAATCCTATTGATCCACCATCTGGGATTAGTATGCACTCGATCTACGTTCAATGTCGTATGTTTCATCGTACTTCGCGTCGTTTTCGACTGTTATGTCGTAAGTTCCCCCCTAGATCTCTACAATCTTATATGTCTGATGGGGCTTCTCTTGTTACGGACAGGTCGTGCCAATACAAACTCGTAGTTACTTTTTTCGTCGTATGTTACGACATACCGTACCGTAGATTACGTGTTTCGGAGCCTAACTCCTGGGAACCAAGGGGTTCAAGCACGATACAGAATTTCCAGCGGATACGTGTCGCGCCTTGGAACACAAAAACAGTCTTCCTCGATCAGTGGAGCACTGCTTGCAGTAATGACGTGTTGTGCCGGGAGGTCGATTCGATTCAGGACTGCCATCACCACGCAGTACCGAACAAATTTTGCACACACGAAACTTAAACTTGCCCTTCGCTGTCTTGTCCGTCGACACCATCAATTGATGCTTCGAGCTTGCTAGCGAGTACGCCATCGAAACTGGTGTCTGATTAGATCTTGGCTCCACCTTGGTAACAGCGGCTTCGGCGACTGGCACCGTTTCCAGGAAGTCATCATCTCCTAGAGCGAGTAGCTCCTCGTGTAGCTGAATGAGAAAATCTGCGTGTGAAAGAGGTTTTTTCCCAACGACTTCGCGTATTCACGGTGGGTGATAAAAGCGTTAATAACAGCTATGTCGAGAAGCCCGCAGAAAACAGTCTTATAGTATTTCTTCGGTCGCATGTCGCTTTGGATGGAGTACCTAGTCAAAAGTATTTTCGGTGTTAGTGATGGGCAGCAGAGCCGCAACAGAGCAACACGTACCTTTGCAGACGTAACTGGCCGTGACTGTCAACACCCCCATGTACTTGTTGTACAATACCACAAACTCCAGACACGGAATGTTTGCCTGTGAGCCGTCCTTTTGCTTCCTCCGCATAATCGCAAGTCTAACGGAGGCCCCAGTCGCCACAAAGTAGCAAATTTTCGAGTCAACCCACCGCGCCGAGTACATTTGACGATTCGTATTGTTCCGAGCAAGAATGTATGAGCCGCGCGGCATCCGTCTTGAAGCTGATGTTTTGTCGGTCTACAAGTCTTCGGGGAAGCCAAGACGCGTCGTAGAAACCGTCCCGATATTGTAGTACCCCATGTCCATCAAACGAAACCTCAACGTCACCGAAGAATACTCGCGATCAGTGATGATGATTCGCTTCTTGGATCGATCCAGCCGACGCTGTTCCCACAAGGCTTTAAGGTTTCGAACCACAGCAGCTGGTCCACTTCTGGTGTCAACAAACTGACTGTTTTGTTTCTTACCGCAATAAACCTCGAACCTGAGCATGAATCCACAGCGTTCAGATACCGACTGTATAAAATAGCGCAAATGAGCATACCTGGAGCAGTAGTGGGGTTTCCCGCAACACACAGCGAACAGCTTGGTGCCGTACTTGTGCGGCTTATTCGTCAGGAAAACTCGTATTTTGTTCTGCGAACTTCTTGAAGGGATAACCATCTCGTCGAATGCAACCCAGCGCCCCAGTTCCATTCCACCCTTGAGAGTAGTCTGTAACTTGTTTATCACGTTGCGAATCTTCCATGCCCGGTCCGTCTTAGCCTGCGGAGCCTGGTTGTTCGTAAAGTGGAGAAATCTGGCGAAGGACGTACTGGTGGTTTTTTTTATTAAAATAACGTGGAAGTCACAGTACCTGTCAATCTCCTTGAAACGCTTGCGAACCATAAATGGCGATCAAGTTCCAGCTGGGATCGCTCCACGGGCTCGCGTCTTCCAATGATCTTCCAGTCGAGACTTTATCGGGCAAATAGCCCTGGATATTACTAGAACCAGAAAATACATGATCTACGCGGCACCTACTTCTTTGAACGCGTCTAGGTCCTTTTTCTTTGCTTGAAACATTTCCTTTCGTTTGTGGATGTCGTCCGTCTTCTGTTCAATGGACAACTTCGCCTGTCGAAGTCTTTCCGATCGTATCTGACGCTCGTAACGATTAGTTTCTTCGGCAATCTCCGTCCAGAGAAGCTTCGGCATGAAGTAAGAAAAAGATCAGAAGGTTTCATGGTTTTCGCTGCCTCTATAGCCGAGGCAGTAAGATGGGGAGGGTCCGTAAACACATCCGTAGCGCCGGACAGGTCCGAGTCATCCCGTTTGTCGGTTACCGGTAGCAACTCCAAACCATTGTCAGACATGCCTCGAAGCATTTCTTCTGTTATGTAGTCCTGGGGGCCGGCAACCGCGCGAATTCCCTCTGCTGTTACGACACTAAAACGTTCATTTCCGGTATCACCCGCAATATAAAGCTCATCTGCAAACTCATCTTCAGAATCGTCGTCGGCACTCTCGCTAGAACAGCCATCAGATTCCAGCACCTCGTGTGATTGGCCAGAGGTAGGGTATCCGCCAGGATTTTGGCTGGTACGGCGCCCAAAAAGCGGAGTGTCATTTGCAACATATGTAGCGCACCGAGTAGTAAATACTGTACAGTTTTGCAACCCTATCGCCATACTAGAGTCAGGTGAGGGTAGCAAAACACCACCGTATGAGAGCTCCACGCCATACTGCCGTAGAGTTGCGAAAAGCATTCCGGGATAATCAAACACCGCGGAGCGTGGCGCGGCGCTGCTCATGACGGCCGTGTCCAGCCTGGCCAGTTGCTGCGCGAACGACTGGAAGAGGGCTCGCAGGCCCGCGCTGCGGCCGAGGCAAGGTTTGTGAACTGCTTTTTGTATGGTTCGACTCCCCCTATTAAAAACACAGGACAAACAAATTAGCTCAAAATAAATTACAAAAACTAAACCTGACGGTTACCCATTCCACCCATTCCGTCACGACGGCCTCATCGTAACAAGTTAATATTTTTTTACCCAAACACCGGGCTCCATATTCCAGTGATACCGGGGCTCCCGTAATTTTGGATAAAACGTTCAGCGTTGCCAGCGTTAGCCCCGTATCGGATGCGGTAAGAAACATCGAGGCTCGAAAGACGTTGATTTCACTTCTATATGAACAAAGCGTAAAACGACATTCACCTCAAAGTCTGGGCGCTCATTTGCTACCCTTGTTGGCGATCCGTCGAATCGAAAGCCGGTTACGTATTAGAGAACCTGTAATAAACGATATTTCCCCGTTCTCAGAGCGCGTTTTAACGCGTTCAGGGCCGTTCCGAGCCAACAGTAGCCCCAGACACTCCATTGGCATGTACAGGTAACGGTATTTTCTCCTTTCTACTATTCCTTCAAGAAGTCGAAACCACAAAACTGGTGTTAACAGGTCCAAGTTATACAGCGTCAACCGTTAAACTTATTTTTTTCTTCAAGCTTGGGTTTCGTATTGCATTTCAGTAGTACGATGAATAACTTGGCAGAAGCATCCTCTGCAGCTCATTATTTTCACATCGTGTCATTCCAGCGATACACCGTACACTCTACGTCATAAATTATCGCCAGGGTACATCTTGGGCCGTTTCTCGGTCAATTTTTAGAGTTATGACGTACTATTTAGATATGTGCTTGGTATTATTTACTAAAGCACAGTGTATGTGTTAACGCGGCCGATTTTGAAGTTTTTAACAGGGCTGGTATACAAACCAACGTATTTTGCACCGCGTCACAATTATCGCCAAGAGCCAGACCCTACAAAAATCAAGATAAAAATAAAGCACGCAAACTAGTGTATTAGAAGTGCGTCTTGCCACCCTTCCTTTCAAGTACCTCAATGCAACGCCTAGGCATAGACTCCACTAGATCACCTAGCGTCGTAACAGGAATGTTATCCCAGGCGTTCAGAATTGCCGCTGTTAGCTCGGCCACGATCTGGTACTGTCTCTCGTTTGGGTATACAGCACGCGAGGTGATGACCCACAGGCTCTCGATGGGGTTGAGATCTAGCGAGCGGACAGGCCAATCCATGACGCTCAAGTTATTCTGCTCGTCGAAGAACTCCTTCGTGCGGGCCGATGTGTGGATGCTCGCGTTGTCCTGCTGAAACGTGAACTCGGCACCATAATGTAGGTGGGCGTAGGGAAGCAGATACTCAGACAGCGTGTAGATGTAGCTGTCCGAGTTCTGCCTTCCTACAAGTACGGCAAGCTTGGTTTTGCCTGCCGCACTAAACCCGCCCCACACCATCACCGACCTGCCGCCATTCTGGCGGCGCACGGTCTGCCCCACACCGTTGGTACCCATCTGGTCCATCGAGGCTCGACTTCTTTTCTTCAGAAAAGACAGCCAGCCGTCCGAAGCGAGAAGGTGCGCCCGGCTGACCCCAAATGCAGTCATTGCAGCGAGATTAGCTCCGCGGAGGAGTGTCCAGCGAACGATCCGCTCCGCGAGGAATAGCATGAGGTGCAGGCGGGTTGCGGGTGGAATGTCAGCTTGACCAGCGGCTCTAGGCATTGTGGTGCTAGTCGATCGTTGATGGGCGAGGGAAGGAAAGGTAAGTTAGAACTGATCTCGAGCGAGTTAGTCTGCACGATGCCGTTAATTAGTGAACAGCACCTTTCTTTATTTTTACCCAATCCGGTCAATCGGTTCGATTAATTACGATATCAGAAAAACTCAACTGTCATTTTGATGCGGGTCGGAGAAGTAGAGCTTACTCTGACTGAAATAACACCTCAATGGTAGCCTCTCCTAGGCACTATCAATCAGTTTGTATGGAAATAGCCCGAACCATATAAAATGATTTTCGGCTGCCTTGAGACATTGTTTCGGTCCGAGGAAGTCGAATCTCTGTATTAGGACTTTGTATGGGCTCGTCATCGGAAGCAACTTCTTTTTGCTGAAACAACATTTGGCAGTTATTCTGTGTTAATTGGCCAATGATCGACCACCTTGGGTACAAAGAGGTAGTCGACAAATTTTCTGGAGAATTTTAGATTGGATTTTTTTCTTAGGACTATGGTGAATTTTGAAGTGGGATCATACCAAAAAGTACGAGTTCATACAGAATCTACGAGTTAATACATAACAGTACGAGTTCATAAGAAAATGTACGAGTTCATACTAAAAAATACGACTTCATACCAAAAGGTACGATGTGTGTGTACAATAAAGTCGGCTTCTCGCCACGTGTTCACTTTCAAATCGGCGCGATGGAAGGCGTTCGCGACTTGGTGAAGGATGGCCAAGTAACGACAAGCGGGGTAATAAAAAGGCAACGCAGACAGTGTACGAGTCGAGCTTTAAAAAGTTTGCAGAGTTCTGTCTTGCCAATGGTTACCCAGACCCCCATACGGAGCGGCACCACGAACTTCCCGCGGTGTTGGTAGCGTACCTTCAGAGCATTTCCGCATCCAGTACCGTGTCGCTACAGACGGCGGAGAAGGCAAGGTCTGCTGTTGATAGCTTCTATTCCTCTCACGAAAACAGCGATGGAACAGACGTGAACAAGTGGAGTGTGCTCGTGGACGACACTGTAACAAAGCGTGGGTATGGAAACCCGGCTCGGTATCCGTTTGTCCGCCAATTTATGCGCGGTCTCAAGAAGAAGAAGGCTGCGGAATACGTACCTGCTAGGGCTGTACCGGTCTCACAAGCTTCGCACAAACGCAGCGTGCCCCGCAAAAGAGTTGCCGGAATACTCTACGTACCTATAGCTCTAATCACGTACTAACCAGTATGAACTCGTAGATAGTTGTATGAACTCGTACTCTTTAGTATGAACACCTCGTACTCTTTGGTATGAACTCGTACTTTTTGGTATGAACGTGTGATACATTTAAGCAGCCTAGAAAGATGAAAAAGTCGTAGAATTCATCTGTCTTATGTCTGGCTTCTATAGCACGCCCCACTACTTGTCACTCGTACTAGCTGCGTGCTTGGCCTTGATGTAGGACGCTTTGTACTCCTGGAAGATAGAACATGGCCCAACCCGCTCGAGTTTCGCGATACCTGCTTTCAACTTGGTCACTTGGGCCGTGTGTGCGGCTTTAGCCTTCTCCTTTCGAGCTTAAAATTCAGCAAGATGGCGATCTTTCGCTCTCAAGTACCGCTCTACCTTCTTGCGATAGGCACGGAAGTTGGTCACCAACGTCTCATAGTCATACTCAGCACGAGCTTTTGCGTTACGTGCGTTGGATACGCGGCGCCGCTCGTTCATACACTCAACATCAGTCATTGCGTCAAGTTCGATTTGAGGCATCGTCTCGGTGTCCGCCGTAAGTCCATTCCCATACACGGTGAAAGCCTTAGCCGTCGTGCTCCAGTAGTTCATCAACTTATCGGTCTCATCTCCAAATTTGCTGATTTGACCGCGAAGCTTGTCGGGGTGAAGAACGAAAATCGCCACCCGGTAGAGCTCTCTAGGAGAAACCATCGACGGACCGCGGCCGTGCTTTGCCTTGCAACGTGCCTTCAGCTCCGCGAGGAAATGGGCAAATAGATCCGGATCCAAACTGACACCATAGAGCAGATCCTCGGCGTCCTTTGTTTTGGGTAATGGCGTCCAAGCCGTTTTCTCCATTTCCTCAATCTCCACGCCCTGAGTCTCGAGCTCGGTAAGCTGCTTACGAGCCACTACATATTCCGCATGTTAGATTTACCAATAATTGATATCATTCTAACAATTATGTACCTTCCAGGCGGCGGAATTGGTCGTACACGCGCTTTTCCTGTAGCTTCTGGAGGATTTTGTCCTTGTTCTTTGCGTAGGAATCGCGGTTTATAGCCTTGCGCGACTTCGGAGGCTTCTTCTTCCCGCACACTTTGCGGTGCTTGGCCATGTTCGACTTCGCCACGAGCTTAGGGCACGTAGGGCACTTGCCCTTCGGTGGACCGTCACCGCTCTCGATTTCCGACCAATTTCTACGACTGAGAGCCGCACCTCCCATTCAGGATTCCTCGATGCTTAGTGGTCAATATTATTTTTGGCTGATCTCGCATATGATTGGCTGAAACAAAATGTTATTTGGCGTTATTTCAGGGAAAGAAGTACTTATTCTTCGTCTAAAGTGGGTTGCAAAAAGGCGAGTCATGTAGCCATCCTCACACGCCGCTAACGCTGTAGTTGATTTCGGAGTAGGCGTCGTGGTTTTGCTATCTCCTCTCGATTCGGGTTCTGCACGCAAATCTCTCGTGTAAGGTGCTTTATTACGAGAGGAGTCCGCACGACATACTTTTTATACAGGTAACAACATCTTGGCATTGCGGTTTATCACGAAACGAACTCATATTGCAGGAAGCGAAGGCAGCCGTCAAACCAACATGCGCTTGAGCGGAGCGACCCTGCGACTTTGGTTGACTGTGCAGCAAAATGATCGACATATCGTGGAGGCGATCTTGCAGCGCGATGATTCGCGTATTGTCCCACAGGTGGATCGTGGTGCTCATCGCAGCGACACAGTTGTCCTGCGCAATACCGGTATGGGGCGCGTTGACCAGGGCCGATGATGGATAGCTGGGAGCTACGCGCGTTTCTCCTCGCGGACATTCCGGGCTGTGTGGCTGTGTACGAAGCAATCCTCGCAGTAGTGGAGAATCCTCCGCATGTCCCGGCGCACGCCTACCGCGCTCAAGGCTTCCAGCGCGTCGCGCTATCGCCCGGTCACATCTTGCTCCGTGTTCGAGAGCAGAGACTCCTCGCGGATTTGAAACCACTCCAGAGTATGGGTCTGTGGGGGGGGGGGCACGGCCCTTCCGACGGCCGCCAGGAACGTGAACGACATGCCAATGGCTAGCAGCTCTCCGCCCCAGCACGCAACGTTGCGGCACCAGTCTACGTACGGTAAAACCAATCCAACAACGTCATGGTCACTCCGCTGATCGGCTTGCTATGCATTGCTCGCCAACACCGGAAGATGTCGCACATCTTGCCGTCGCCTCGGCATCCCACGACGGCGCTGCAGGCGTACAACGTATCCTCGTATATGCCGTGTTCATCTGACACGGCGCTCTCCGTGTTTATTCTGCTGCCCTCGCTTCATGATGATTCTGATCCCAAACACCAGCCGACAAGACCGCGCCGCGCAAGAAACCTTGTAAATTTAGATATTGCATGTCTCAGCCTTGAGGGAAGGATGGGCTATATGGGTTATTGTTACACCGGCGCTGCTGCGAGTTCGCTGTGGCCAATCCATGCTGACTAGAAACTTTATGGTTGGGACGGTCTGGAGTGTAGAGTCCATCTCAACACTCAATCTCACAGTTACATTTCCTGTCTACATTCTGCATTTGTGTAAGTCGGCAACGGCTTTAATCCTGGTACAAAAACAAGTAGATGCTTCGTTACAGAAGTTGCCATGGTATCCCCCCTCCGTTTGGCCCTATGCAGTGGTTCATAGGTGTAGACGGCTTCTAAAAAAAAGGAAATGGCTACGGAAAGGACATTTAGTCTTGCGCCGCCGCGACCGGACGGTGGGGTATAGCATGTCGGTGCTACTCGCTGTTGGCTCCGACTACGAGACGTGATTTGAGCCCTGCGGACGGCTTCAGACACGCTCTAAGTTCCTGAGAGGGTCATGCTTGTGGCAAGCTGCATCGAGAGAAGGCGTAGTGGTGCTCGATGTTCGTGATATCTGTCGGATCTGTGGCCGCGGCTAGTGGTGATACTATTGCGAACGCGTAGTGGCGTACATCTTCATGCTGGCGCTGTTGACAGCGGGCCGACGAAGTACTACCGCTACATCTCCCCGACGATGGCGGGCTGCGAGAGAGCCCTTGATGGAGGTGCTCAACACTGCCTGGGGAAGGACCGGGTATTGCGTTAGTCCTGCGATGGCTCCGAACTTTGGCTGCATAGGTTCTATGTACAGAGCGACGGGTTGCAGTGCTGCCAGGGTACGCGTTATTGAGGACATGGATGTGTAAACACGTTTATTGGGCAGATAAGGGAACAAAATTGTGAAAAATGATCCTGTATGTTGTGATTTACCCCAGTAACGGTTACAAGTAAAGTGGCACTTGGTTGGAAATATTTTTGCGGTGGCTCCTATCATCTTCTAGAAAGGTCCTCGAGGCACACATCAGCGTACTTTGTTTGTAGTTATCTACCATCTGAGGTGGCTGTTTCCAACCAATACTCATATCATTTCAGATAATTTCAAACCTTAATCCATCTTGTTGAGCCAATTGTCGCATGAATAGAGCGTGATACCGACTTATTGAGTGTCCCCCAATTCTATAGCGTATTCACGGATGTTTGACGTTTATGTGACGAGGTCGGTGAAACCTTTTACGCCCAGGTGTATAGCGGTAGCCCAGAAAGGGTTGACAAGCAAACCTCTTTGGGAAGGTAAAACCTGAACGCAGATTTCCTTGAACGCAGCTTCTGGGAATAAATGCGGCCAGGGTGGCGTGGCACCTTGTGAATCCCTATCGGTGTCGTTTATCCTCGGGGAGCCTGGATCGATCACCAGGTGAGTTGTCTGTGCGTTTGAAAGCCTTGAGTTCGTTGAGCGTAACGTTCACTTGTCTGAACGCACTTCTCCGAAATGGCTGAAGCTTGAAACGTGAGTGAAGGATCAGGGTTACTACCACGAGTTAGAACCCCAGAAATACACACCACTTTCAGATATCCAATACAAATGCAGAGTTATACACAAACACACAGCCGCCACTTATTCTTAGACCCTTGGGTGGTGGGTCGTACACCAGTCAACTAATCTGCGATCAAGGTACTGGTCAACCTTGAACGCACTTTCACACGCGCACCACTCTCAGATGAGGGAAATATACAGACCAAATACAATCCGAACCTAAACGCAGTCAATCAAACTATTCTCGGGGGCGACTGCTACCAAACCACCCGAGATATCAATCATTAACATGAAATGGGACACCACCCTTACCTCAACGCAATGGGCCCAACTGGGAAATGGAATACGTGGATCACTTCAGCAGCCGGAGCAGACTGATCCCCACGTAATTGGACTTGAATGTGTGTGGGGAGCTCCGCAGTGCCCTTGTCCTTAAAGACAGCGGACCTGGTTCCTCGACGACTTGCGCAGTAAGGGGTAAAACGAACTCTCGGATTGTTATCTGCTTAGTGTTGGATGGGAGCAAACTCCGAGTGCGCGGGAATGTGCTCCGAGTGAGCGCTACTGATCCGCTCACTTTTTTCTGCGCGGATCGGTTCATGGCTACATTCGCACTTACGGCAAATTTCGGTGGCCTCCAGGGTCCGCTCCTCTCCACGAAGAGTATCTGTTATTGGATTCAAAGCAAGTGTATGGTTAACGCTTTTGTGTCTCTGTCTCTCCTACATTACTAGCGTGTCCTCGTGGTTGTTGACCTCGATGTCGTGCTCTTCAGCTTCTGGATACAACTGCAGGCGAGCGAGATCCAGTTTGACGTTTGTTTTTGCGGCACTGTTGATGTAGACGAACGCTAGCATCTCAACCTTTGTTGTCGACAGACGATTCCTTTTCTTCGTGTGGATGTAGTCAAATATACTCCACGCTCGCTCGCTGGATGCAGAAGAGGTCGGAATGCTGAAGACGTAGCTTGCGAGCAGATTCAGAGCTTTGTAGCCAATCTTTGCATTTGCTTGCTTCGCATGACTCCGCCACCAGTGGCGCGGGAACGCGCCGGCGTTCTTTTCCTTGTCCTCCTCCGTATAGCTGCGCTTCTCGTCGGCAAAAGCATACAGCCAACGGTTTAGCTGCGCGCGAGTTATCTCGAGCCTATCAAGCATCCCTGTCCTGACCGCGAACGCGCAAGCTTGACTGATGCTATCCGCCTCATCGCTGTCGATAAAGCCGTCCGGATCCGTGTTCGGGTCGAGGAGATACGCTATACTGATTGCGTTAGTGTGTACAAATTTCCATCGCTCGTTGACAAATCCGTAAAACTCAGCCCTCACCCTTCTTCGAGTATTCCGCGACATACTGCTGAAGTCGATATATCGTTGGCGTCTTGGCTGGCCCCAACTAGCTCGCCAAAAAGGGCCCCGCCATTAAGGGAAGCCGAGTATCCTTGTCGTAGCCACTTAAAGCGCTCGTAAACTCGAGACGTCGGAACGCCATCGGATTCGAGCTCGCGCAGTGCCTCGATTACAGGGACAACCATTGCAACAGCGAACGCGAGATTTTGCCAAAAGAAATCTGAGCCAATTAGTTCCTTCACGAACAGTAGCTTGGATCTCACAGTGGCCGGGGCGTTGTATCTCTCCATCAAATGCGCGTGGCGCGACGACTGAAAGAGGTCCTCGAGAATAGCACGGTTGTGAAGAACACTTCGGAGGCATGCGTGCGCGGTGTACCATCGGGTTGCTACTGGGATTACTAGTGCATGGCGTGCTTGGTCGGGTGGAATTTGGGTGCGCTGAAGATGGCGAAACTGATCCAAAAGTGCATGATGCTCTCGAACGAAGTGGACAATAGAAAGCGCGTCTTCCTTGATCTTCTTCATAAAGAGTATCTTCTTAAAAATATCTTCCATGAGCAGGTTAAGTACGTGTGCTGCACAACCTCCACCAAAGACAGGTAACTTGTTCTCCAAAAGCTCCCATGCACTTGCCATGTTAGGTGCATTGTCCGTCAGTACACCAACGACCAGAGCTCTTGTTTCGCGATGAATTTCAGCAATCACTCGTTCCAGTTGCGCGGCCATGAATTGCGCCGTGTGCTGCTCTGTTCCCGTTGCAAGTGATGACCAAAAAAGTGACTTCATGCCTGGGTCCACCACCATGAAATTCACAATGCTGGAACCGTTCACGTCGGTCCACCCGTCAGTGACGATTGAGAGTTTGAATCACCTCTGCTTTGTATTCTTCCTTGACCTTTACAAGCAGCTCACCCGAAAGCTTGGCCCGAGATGGTAGACGAAACTGCGGGGCCACAGTGGCAAAGAGTAGCCGGAACATGGAGTCGTCCACCAATACAAATGGCAGGGCGCAGCAAAAAAAACACGTGCCACCAGCATTTCAAACTCTAGCTGGCCGAAGTGCGGGGTGTTCGCTCCCGCATGATCTCCATCACCTGCGCCTCCTCCGTCTTGCTCATTCGTCGCCGGTCTCTCGGACGGTAGCGGCACGTTGTATGCGCCTCGCAGGTACTGCTTATCCATCGGCAGTATCCCTGTACAGTCGTTGAGCGCATGGGGGGCCATGTTGCGTTTAGGCGCCGCGCTGTTGAGGATCCGATGACAGTGTATGCATTCAACCGCTGGATGATCTCTTTCGTCACGTGCAACGAAGTGTTGCCATATCGACCCAAGGTGCCTGCCCCCCTTTTGCCCTTCACGAACCGAACTAGCAGTATGCTGTACACGGTCTGGTGAGGGATCCGCGAGTGTCGTCGTTGAGCGCACCGTAGCCTGGAAGCGAGACGTCCGCGGAGTGGAGGAAGGAGGCAAAGAGAGCGGTGGGCTGAGGTCGGGATCCAGCGGGTGTACCCCTAGCGTCTGGGTCAGCGCTGGCGTGCCAGAAGTCCATAGCGATGAGCTTTGCGTCGCAGATTCTTGTGTTGACTGCTGGGTAGACTGGGCAAGTTGAATCAGCGTAGATGCGCTAGACGCCGCTGAATCTTGCGACGGCACTGTCGATAGCGACGACTGCGACTGCGGTGCAGACAAACGGAGCGAGTCTTGGTCGCTGGAGCTCATGTGGCTTGACGCGCGACGCACCACACTCCTACGTTGATGGGCTTGTGTCCGTGGCAGCGAGATTTCGATAATGAATGCATTGCACGCACGTCCGTGATGGGTGTTGCGCGCGTTTCTGCTACGTGAATTTTCTAGTATGAGTTTTACTATGAGGAGGGAACGCTGCCAATACCGCGCATTCGGAAATATTTCGGAGCTGCGCGGTACTGCTCGCCGCGCACCGCGCGCTCGGAGCACGAGTGCGCTCTTCCATCACTATATCTGCTAGACTATCGCTAGGCTTTTGTGTAAAGATATCTCTCTCGTAGCGTTCTTCTGTATTCTTCTGTGTTCTTCGCCACGCGACTGGCGAATATCTTGACTTGAGTATACTGGAATTGTTGACGTAGACACTGTCCACTGGATTCTTGCCCAGCTTCAATGTGCCCCTGTCTATGTGCATGACTGGCTCTTGAGAAACCTTGAACCGGCATCCTTGAAACCGGGTTTCAGAGTCGGCAGGCCTGATCAAGGTGCCTCCAAGGTCTGCGGCCAAAGGCAACTTGCGCCCAAGGCTGAAACCATTCTCAGGGCCTTGCGGCCAAGGGTAGGTCGACTCTTCACTTGGTGGTGGGGCACTTGGCGGGACTTCGTCCGGGTGGCCAGCGGTCTGGACACTCTGCACTTGACTTCACTGGGGTGGCTGAGCTCCGGGTACACGAATTCGATGTGCGTTCAGGGCCTAGGCGAGGCGGGACACCGTACACGATACGTTCGTGCAGGTGTTTTCGACGGCATCAATGTGTCAACCCGCTTAAGGACGGGGGCGGCCTGGACGGATCGAGTGTGTTCAGGGTTTCTTGTCTGAACGAAGTCTTCCAGGCCTGAAGGGCCCATCCTAGGCTTGAGCGCACTTCGCTCCGCGGAACACAGACGAATTCCAGCTTAGGTGTTGTCGCACGGTGTAAAGCCGGGTCCGGGTTCAGTCTCGGCCAATCAGAATGGCGGATTCAGGCGGGTCAGTAGACAGGTGATGACCGGTTGAGGTAAAACCTCGCTCAGTCTCGTCACAACCGTCCCATCCAGTCATGGTCTGTCATAGATGAAATTGCATCGGAGCTGGCGCATCATGACTGGACCGAAGAATGATGGGGCTGAGCTTGAACGCAGTTCTGAAGCGCGGGCAGTTGGCCAACTGCCACGCTTGCGCACGCTTCTCCGCCCTGTCCCACTTGGCCAGCAACTGCCAAATCTGCGGCCAGACTCGTCTCCAACCACAAACTTCATTCCAGCTTTCCGTATCATTGCAAAATCTTCTTCAAACGCGCGGCACCGACGCACACACACCGACACGGCAACCTCGCGGTCACACAAGCGGCACAGCGGCATCGCACCGACAGAGGGCGACGCACCAGAGGCACGCACGCAGGAGCGCGCCAGTCAATCGGGGGACGCCGGCAAGGCGTCCGAGTCGCAGGAAACACCAGCGGAAGCGTCTCCTTCGGGCAACGAGTGCCGGGTGCACTTCGCGGGCAACAACGACGACAAGGAGGGCGACAGCGGCGAGGAGCACGTCGACGCCGATGGCGATGAGGTCATGGAGGGCTCCACCGTGGATGTTTAGGCCAAGGAGGACCGTGAGCGGCTGAACGCAGATCCCAACGGGTCAAGCAGCCTGAACGCAGTTTCAGTCAGCTTGAAACGGGGTTTCAGTCACACTCCTCAGCTGTCACTCCACCGCTTCTCCGCCGAAGTCACACCAACGCGCAGCAGGCTGGACACTCTCCACTCTCCACAGTATCAGTTCACGTAAATCGTTCCACAAGCCATTGTAGTCTCTCCGCTTGTAAATAACATCTTGATCATCCTCATCTGCGTCCAGACACATCTGCGTTCAGGGCACTTGTCAGCGGTCAGCGTCACTCGGTCTTGTTTCAGGGTACAATCGATGTCAGGGGCATAGTCAGTCATTTTTCACTTGGTCAGCGATCTGCGGTCAGGCATGTGCGTTCAAGGAACTCTACACGCCCGAGTGATCGTCCCGTACCCGCATCGCTTGGGCCAGAGCTCGCGCTCTAGCACCCTGGTTGAACACATGCAGGAGGGCATCGCAGTCCAGCCGAGAGGCCGGTATCCATTCTGGTTCGTCACGCCCCTTCCACTTGACCTTGTACTCTCGAGTGCGTCGAGACGTCCGAGTATGATCGACCCAACGTAGGGCCAGGATCTCCTCCACTTCATATCCAGCATTCAAGGTGCCGGGTTCCCAACAGTCTTTGCAGAGCAAAACGTTTGAACGCACATGTGTCATGACGGTCAAAACCTTGGCCGAAGATTGCATCGGCGCTGAGTCAAAGCCTGAACGCACTCCATCCAGATTAGCGTCCAAAGTCCTCGTACGCACTTCAGCTTTGTTCAGCGGCCAGGTAGGTTTCTTCACCAGATCGGATATCCGCGACACAAGTTGCAGGTGCAAGCGTTCCTTGGCGTCTCCAACCTGCCACGACTTGCCCAACGCTAGAGTCTTCAACGTCAAGTAGTCAGCCGCTTGGTTATACAGCCGCTTGACATGCACCAGTTGAACGGTCTTAAACTTTGTCCTGAGCACTTCGTACTCTACCAGTCTGCGCTGAAGGTTGGGCTGGTTGCGGTTTATCAAACCTTGAACCTGCTGAATCACGATCCTTGAATCACCAACTGCGATCAGGTCCTCAACTCCCCGTTCAGATGCCATTTTCAACCCATTCAGCAGTCCATGGTACTCAGCGTCATTTACAGTCAGATCTTCCAGGATGAACCCACGTGCGTCCAGGACTTCCCAGCCGGGTAGCAGCCAAAGAACACATCCGCAGCTTCCAACACGCGTTGAAGTCTTCGCCGCACCATCGAAGCTAAGGAACACACCCTGATAGTCTGATTCAAGCATCTCGATGCTGACCGCAGGTGGTTTTGTGACGCGTCCCTTGGCTGCAACCAGCTCTTTGATGCCTTCATCCAAATGCTCACCTGACCCACAGTGTTCCTCCAATATGGCCGTAGTGTCAACCGCATCTGCGTTCAGGGGGTCAGACCGACCAACGTCTTCGGAACACCTGCGTTCAAGGTGTACGACGTGGGCGACGTCTCCTACAGGCGTTACGGCAGCAGCAACACTCGCTACGTGCGCAATGAGGGGGGTCTCGACACTGAGAACTTGAACGCTAGGTTGTTCAGCCTGAACCGGGTCTGTTTGAACTCCGGCGTCCCTTGTCCTTGAATCAGCTGCGTTCAAGCTTCGCTCATGAGGAGGTTCCTAGGTGAAGGTAACCCGTAACGGTTTCGGCCTCTTGTTCACCTGCACAAGCCGAACTTGAGCGGTACCTGAAGTAGGTCGCAACATGATCTTGGACGGCCACGGGTTACTGCAAGCCTGAACGCAGGTTGGATCCTGACGATTCATTATTTCAGCCAGTCGTTTAGCGCGCATCTGGGCTTGATCGGACAGAGTGGTCTCGAGAATGAGTTGTTGCCACTCTTGATACTGTCTTTTGCCTGAACGCACAAAGCGGCCAGCACGAGGAAAGAATCCATGCTCCACAATTCTAGCCACCGGGATCTGTGTGTCAATCCAAACCGGCTTGTCGGAGATGTTCACAACCTTGATCGCAGTCGGCCAAGACTTGGCCGCATAAATGATCGCTGTCACCCATCGGTCTCAGCGTCCAGCCCACACAACTTAGCGCTGAGGGTTAGATTCACCATAGTCGATACGCACAATAACACTTCGTCCTGGTTTCAGGAACAACATCTCCGCTGGCCGCACCGGATGGTCCAAACCCATTCGACTGCGGTCGGGCTCACCGTACATCTGAATCGTCTCTTCGTCCGGAAGTTGGATCAAGCCTTCTCGAGTCGACAATCGCACACCGGCGCTGAACATGAAGTTCATACCAAGTAAAACATCCACGCCGTCACCAATGTTGGCGACCCAAAGCCGGAAAATGTAGACAACTCTAGGTCCGAGCGTGATCTTGACCTCAGCATGCGCTGAAATGTTGGTCGGAGCACCCCCCAACCCTGAAACATTCGTCTGTTTGTGTGGTCGGAGCTTGATCTTTACCTTACACGCAAAGTCGAAGCTCAGCATGCTTACGGATGCACCAGTGTCCAGGACGATCTTTGTTCGGCAGTCATTCTCAGCACCATGCACCATAGCAACTTCATGCGCATCGTCAGGTTCGTGATCATCCCACCAGCCATAGCGTTCATCCGGCCGAAGTCGAAACTCAAACGGGGATTCTGCGTCCAGACGCTCATTGTCTGAATGCACATTGTCTGAACGCAGGTTTGCTGAATTGGGAGATTAACCTTGGGACACGGCCATGCAATGTCGGTCAGCTTGGTCGATTCTTCTCCTTCTCAGCTCTTGGCCGACGTACGCTGGGGCACATAACGCGAAGGTTTTCCTCAACCCACTACGTTGTGCCAGTGGGCTGGACTCAGAGCCATCACCACCACTCTGAAACGCGTTCAGGGTTTGGTCGTTGAATCCACCTTGGTGCATCAACTTCTTTATTGCTTGGACAACGCTCCAATCTTCGCACGAGAATCCACGATGGAACTGGTTGCAGCCAGTACATGGGATGGCGCGGCAGGCTTCAGTCGGGTGACCTTGTTGGTCAGATCAGTTCTGCACAGCTGTTCTCCTTCGAGTGTCCAATCCTTCCACAGCTCTCGCAAGTCCTCTGCCACGGCGAATTGGTTGAACGCGGTGACATTGGCCTTGGACGCAAATCCGGGTTGCCTGAACGCAGATCCGCATTTCCAAACTGAGGTGGAGGACGCCACCCTTCGGCATCCAAAACACGGTAAATTTCCTTCGTGATGTTCTCCACCTTGAACACGGGTTGCGTTCCAGCTGGCATAGGTTCACTCACACTCTTGTCACGTCCTTTGGCGAGCGGCACGGCTTGACTTCATCATCCAGCTCTTCAAACCGGACACGCCGTTCAGGTTCGGAATCTGAATCGGGTTCTGAACCTTGAGCGACAAAAGTGCGTCCAGACCTTCGAACCTTGAAACAGCCCTGCGGGTCGTTGTCAGCGCGGAAGTCACGTCGTGGCGGGGGAGTGTCATAGCCTTCCTCGCGCCAGATGAGCTCGTGGCGTCTCAACGCATGTTCGACTTAGCTGATACTCTTGAACTTCTGTCCCTGCAGCGCGGTCTTCAGCTGGGTATCCTTCAGCTTCTTGATGAAACGACGAAGGTGTCGCTCCCGATACTTGGTTGACTTCTAGAACTCAATCCCAGCCTTGACCGCAGCTGCGTTCCGCCGGTAGAAGAACTTGCGTGGAGTCTTGCCTGAACGCACTTTCATGGTGTAGTAGCGCTCAGAGTAGGAACCAGTCGTACGGCAGTACATGACCATGAACAACGAGACAGCTTCATCCAGTTGTGCCTGGTGGACTTAGGCAGCTGAGCGTACCAGTCCCTGAGCGACGAAGACATTCGTCCCCGAAGCTGGCGGATCTTCATCTTGTCCGGCCAGGAACCCTGAACAGCCATGTTGGTGAACCTCTCCCACCAACCAACGCGATCTTCCACGGACGCATACTCGCTGAACTTCTCAACCGCATTGTAGTTGATGTACGGTGGATACGTCCAAACGGTCGTGTCTTCCTTGGTCGTCTCAGGTCCAGGTCGAAGTCGTCGCTGGAACGGCTGCTGTAGTCACAGGAGCTTGAATCGTCACCGCTGGAGTCTGATGAGCTTGAGTCGGAGTCATCTGGGTCAGAAGACGGCGGGTCTGCGTCCTCCTTGCTACCCTTCCGGGAAGAGGATCTTCTGGACGCAGATTTCTTGGCCGCACTTTTCTTGGCCGCAGATGACGCTGAACCCTTGGCCGCAGATCCCGACTTGGATGCAGAGCTCTTCGACGTCGTCACAGTTTCCATCCCTTGGGAACTTGCAGCAGCTTCCTTCTTCGGCAGACTCGTACCCACGGTCGCACGTAGCTGGGCAGCACCGACTTCGGTCGTGTTCTTTGAGTGCACACAGCCGGTACCTGGTGCCACGCCATCATTGATTGCACCACTGGATACTTGATTCAAGGTTGTCGATTGAGGGACAGCCGACGTTTCAGTCTTGATTCCGGTTGCGGGATGAGGGGCCGTAGCTGCACGAACAGCTTGAACCTGGGAAAGGGTTGCACGCAGTTCGCGGATCTGGTCGGCCAGGAACTTCTGGCGGTTCAGCGCAGTGTCGCGTTCGAGCTCCCGTTCCGTTGGTTCTCGCTTCCGCTCGAAGGGTACGTTCCGAATCGTCTGCTGCACGGAGTCCAAGCGCTTCTTCATCTCACCGTCGACTTCTTCAGCGCGGCGAGCGCGCTCCGCTTCGGCGCTGGCGCTTTCAGCCTCAGCGCGTTGAAGCTTGGCCTCGGCTGCGTTCAGGCGTCCCTTCCAGCGGCGCTCAAGGTCCTCCCGGTCCGCTTCGTACTGCTGCTTCGCGAGCTTGGTCGCCACTTCAGCGACGTCTGAACGCGCGCGCAAGAGGTGGTCTTCGTGCACTGCCGCATAGTCCGCGGGTTCAACTGGGCCGGAGTAGGCTAGGACGTCAGGGTGCCATTCAGCTTCACGCAATCGGCGTTCAGCCTTCTCCAGGGTCCTGCGTTCAGCCTCTACACGAGCGGCTTCAGCTTAGGTGAAGGCGCGTTCAGCAAAAGCCTTCTCCGCTTGAGCCCGGGACACTTCCTCCTTCATCGCGCGGACTTCGAAGCTTGCGTTCTGCAGCTCACGCTGCATCTCCAGTTGCATGTCCAGCTGAGCTTGACTGAGCTGAGTCTGGAACGCTGCTTGCTGTTCCTGAAGTTGGCGCATGACGTTCAAGGCCACTTGTGCAGCTCCGGACGACGCCGACGAAGACCGAGAGCCTGAACGCAGAGATCGACTGGTCCGGCTGGACCGGGTTCTCACTGAACGATCATGACGCGATCTTCTGGACGAATGCTGGAGGCCTTCCGAGGTCAGCCCCGACTCGCTCGGCGCAAGTTCAAGTTTCTCCTGCTTGACCGCAGGTTTCGCCTTGGACGACCGACGCCTGGACGCAGTTCTGCTACTTCGCGTTTCAGCACTTGCGACCTCAGCCATGTCGACGTCGTCCTGGTCTGGCAGCGTACGGCGAGCAGGGATAACAGGCTTGGTCACGAACATGCCCATGTCGGGCGCTGCGGCCAAGGCTCCACCTGCCTGAACGCTCATGACCAGGCCTGGACGCATATGCGTTGAAGCACTGTGGCCCAGAGACATCAGCGAAGACGACGACGAGCTGTCCCGAGATGTCTGCGTGTGAAAGGAGGTCGCGTACGTCGAGTCGTTCGAAGTCCCCGACGGGCCGATCAAGCTTGGAACGGAGTCTGAGATGCCACTCGATGATGCGTTTAGGGTCGAACCTTGAACGCTCATGGCTCGGGCATCTGCGTTCAGGCTCACGTCGGTCGAGGGGACCAGCGAGTGAACAGACGGAGTCGACACACTCAACGGACGAGCTGGCCGATACTGCGGGCGCTTGGGATTGCGGTGACCCTCGCGGGCTGCGAAGAGCCAGGATCCCAGCCATCCGGCATTGAGAGACGAAGGCTTGGCCAAGCAGTTCGACTTCGTAGTCATCCATCAATAGATCACCATTCACAGCTTGAGCGTCTTGTGTCTTCTCTTCCTTGAACGCAGGTTTTGTATCCGAGGCTGGAACGACCTTGAACGACACTCCAGCCGTGAGCTGCTTCCACTCGATGAGCTCGATAGTCAGGAGTTGCTGAACCTCTTCCACGACTGAACGCATATATCCAGGGTTGATCTTGGACGCATGCGTCATGAACCAGTCTGGAACCGCGTTGACGAATTCAAAACCAGCTTCAAAGAGGAGAGTCTCCAACACTGCCGCACACTCACGCGAAGACATCATGCTCGGCGGGATGGCAACTGCGGTCAGGTCTTGAGCGATGCCCAACACTCTGCGTTCAGGACGCAGCTCAGCGATCCAAGCCGCATCTCGATTCTCCAGAGCCATTCGACGTCGCAAGTAGTCTGATGTAGCCATTGTGGCCTCCTGCCAGGCCGAGAAGTCTGGCCGCGGATTCGGCCAAGCATACTCCACTGAGGGCGGAACGACGCGTCCTGAACGCATCTGCTCCCAGCGATACACTTGGCGTGCCACAAAGTTCTTCGCCGCCGTCTCATCGAGCTGAGTCGTGTCAGCCGTTTCAGCACCCGCGCCCAAGCTTGGACGCACATCTGCGTTCAGACTTTGAGGTGCTGGAACCGGGTTTAAAGCATCGTCTCGCGGTAACACTTCGGGTTCAGGGGCTTGACTCTGCGACGATGACGGAGCTTGGTTCGACGAACTCTGCGGCGAGCGTGAAGACACATCCGCATCCTCAAGCGCTGAACTCTCTTCGGCATCCGACTCCTCGATCTCGATCACTTCAGTCTTAACGTTGACCGGCACATCCTTGGCAGTCTCCTCTTCTTGTTCCGGCTGCGGAGAGTCCGAAACTCGATCCGCCGCCGGGGGCTCAACCGCATTGGCGCCTCCCTCAGACGCCTGAGCACCACCCTCGCGGGTGTGCTAATCTGGGACTTCAGGAATCCGCGACCCAGAATTAACCTCCGTCGAACCTTGGAATTCATGGGAAACTTCTTCCTCCTGTGTTTGCGATCCAGCAGCAGGCTGATCTTGAACTGCAGACGCCTCGACGTCCCCACCTTGCACTGCCTCACTCTCGCGAGCAGCCTTCTTCGCCTTCCGAGCGTCGCGGACGACTGTTTCCAGGTCCTTGTGCTCCTCAGGCTCCATACCTTGAACACGACGCGACTGGCGTGACGCCTCACCGCGTCCTCCATCACCGCGTCCACTTCTTTGCCCCTCGTCCTTCAGGCATCTTGGCAGCTTGTAGTTGACGGGCACTCAACACTTCTTCAACACTTGATTCCGGTGAAATCCTCGACAATCGAATCCGGGCACGCGCACCAGCTGAGGCGAGACCGATGAAACCTTTATCGCCCTGGGGGGTTCGTATAGCGCAGCCCAATACTGTTCCCCAGGGGTAGACCCAGAGAATCGACTTGAGAGTCAACAGCAAGAAGATAGACCCAGAGATTCGCAGCCGCAAAGCTTTAAACACTGAGAATCACACTCCTTGGTTGGCGTGGGTACCTTGTGTAATCCCTGTCGGCTCGTTTGTCTTCGACGGAACGGCACTCCACCGGTTGTAAATGTAGCCTCGACGAAGTGCGGGAGCGCACGTCTACTTCAGAACGCTACTTCCACACCAAAAGGCAACCCAGAAAACCAGATCCCCTGAAACCCAGAATATCACGAATTCAGGGTCCAGGATTTCTGTCAACTCTGGGACTTGGAACTCAGAAGACACCTTACCCAAATGCCCTCCTAGCTCGATAAAACCAACCAATACAGAGTATACAAACACTACAACTAGTCGTCACTTATTCTTTTGGACCCTTGGACGGTGGGTCACTCACACACTAGGCTCACTCGAGTCTGAAATTCAGGGGCCTAGCTCCCCTGAGACTCACACAAACGCGCACCACCTCCAATAAAGGAGGAAAATACAATCACTATCAGTTACCTTCCCATCATACAAGCAGTCAATACAAAATCCTGGAGGCGACTACCTAGCACCCCAGAATACCCTCTGGAATAATATGAAATGGGCTACCACGAGCACAGCAAGTGGCCCAACTAGGATATGGAATAGATGGATCACTCCAGGAAGCTCAAGGCCGTCGCTGGTCCCCACCTAACTGGACTTGAGTTGATGGAGTCCACACAGACGGCTGTCCTTCGCCATTGATGTGCCCTTAGAGTCCCGCGGTCGTAATCTCGGGTCCTCCGGATTTCCGTCGGCAGGCTTGGCCGAAGTCACTTGCGCAGTACAGGGAAAATTGAACTCTGTTTGGTTTTTATCAGCTACTTCTCTCTCTCTCTCTCTCTCTCTCTCTCTCTCTCTCTCTCTCTCTCTCTCTCTCTCTCTCTCTCTCTCTCTCTCTCTCTCTCTCTCTCTCTCTCTCTCTCTCTTCTTCGTGCAAATATCTTCTGTTCACCATGCTTGGGGTCAAATGTCTTGTCTTGAGTATACCTTGGGCTCAGCGGTCCAAACTTGCGATCGGCTTGCGAATCTATTGTCGCACGGCGTCGAAAGTGCCAATTGTGGGTCCTTAGACTTGGTTCAGTATGGTGCAGGACTCCCTCTCGACTCCTCGAAAGTATCTAGTCCGCGCATCTGCAACGGTTCTTCAAGGTCATGCATCACTTTGATTGCAGACTGGCTTCGAACTGACTCGAGTCCCTGAAAATCAGGTGACACTCAGGGTCATCTTCTGAAATCCTGGGAATTCTGAGGAATCTTGGGGAACTGTGGGGATTCTTGGGTGTTGGCTCGGGAAACACTTAAGTTCAGTATAGAGAGTCTGGATTTATGGTCCAAACCCAGAGAATCATCTTTGGAACTCTGGGTCACCTGCGCCCAGGGAGGTGAACTCTGGGTCATCGTGCGGCACTCTGGGTCTCCAAGTAGCACTCTGGGTAACAAGTCTGCTGCATTGCAGGCTCGCGTGTATCTCCACAAAGCCACACTTTTAGTGGGTTTAGCTGTCTCCTGCGCATGATCATGGTAGTAGTGGGTTGATTCTCAGGGTAATTTGATCCTCTGGGGCACTCTGAGCCACAGCAAGATGAGGTGTACTCTGGGATATATTCTCCAGAGACACTTTCCGCCAGACTTTAGGCACTCATCGTAAGGGAAAGTCCGCGGCTGGACTGAGTGTTCTCTGAAATCCTCGGCGTGCACTCCCAGGATTCACACTTCCGACCAGTTGGGCCCATCTGCGGTCAGGCGCTGGATTCATCCCGAGAAATCACTTCTCTCCCACAGTCGCCATCCATGTCACACGGGTACAGCCGCGCCGTATCCAAGTCATCCACCAATCAGCATCCGATACAAACTCCAAGTCACAGAGGTGACGGCACATCGTCGCCAATTTTCTTGGGACCGCCTCGTGTCAACCGCCCCTCCTGGTCCGGGTCCATCAAAGAGGAAATCGCTCCGAACTGGTGAACCATGGCCAAGACACAAAAACACACAGGTCCATCCACCGTCGACTTCGATACGGCCGTTGCACTCTGTCGACTCCCAGGGTTTCACTCACTTTGGCGGCACCCTGTCTCCCCAACGGTTGGTCAGGACCTATCTTCAAGGTTCTCCTCTCAAACGCAAAATCTCCAACGGGCAATGCGCGGTCACATCGCCATTTCACAGATCGTCAACATGGCGGAGAGCGCGCCTTCTGACGGCAAGCAAGCGACGGCGCCAGCTCAAGGCACGGCGCCCCCCGGCAGCGCGCCACCTCCGACGCAGCAGCGCACCGGCGACGCCCCTGCGAGCACCGTACCAGCAGGCGGCGGCAGCGACCAGACGGGTAACTCAGCGTCCGGCGACACTTCGACGGGCAGCACCAAGACGGGCGCGACCAAGCGCGTCTCCTTCTCCAGCGCCACCGGCAAGACCTCCGACGCGGACATGCGCGAGGCCGATGGCAACGCCTCGGCTGACGCTGCAACCCAGGAAACTGGTGACGCGAACTCAGAGTCCAAGGCTCCAGACGCAGTCGGCGCGGCTTCGAACGTGAACATGGAGGGCGCCCCTGAATTCAAGACGCCACGCCACGCGACGGTGGAGGACGCCAGGGGGCTCATCGTCGCAGGCATGCTTCGGCAGGAGGAGGTCGATCCCCCTGACTTCCTGGGCCCTGAACGCCCCCCCCCCCCCGCACTTGAAACTGCCGGCTCCGCCGAATCTCAAGACCAACTCGTATCTCGTGGGGGTCCCAGGGATCATGAACGACATTCGCGCGGGTGCATTCGCCATGGAGGGCTACGGCAGCGCGTCTACGCTGATCGGCTTCGAGGAGTCAGAGAAGACGCAACTCAAGGCGCGCCTTGCCGACTCTGAGGCACAAGTGCGAATCCTGAAATCGAGTCTTGAGTCTGCCACCGTGGATCCCTGGAAGTTCTCCGACTTCCTGCAAGAGCACACAGACTTCACGGGTAATTGGGAGCGCCTCCACGACCTCTTCAAGCTCTGCATCAAGGACTCGAAGCCTCCTGAATCTTGGGACACTGTCGGCAACGTCACGGCCATGGACAAGCGCAAGGCTGCGGTGGCCCCGTACCCAGAGAAAAGCACACGTATGCCTCCGTCTTCGGGGTCTGGATCGTCCGGTCGTCCTGAAATTCTGGATCTCGCGGGTCCTGGCAGCAAGCCTCGCAGCGGTTCGAAGACCGGGGGCAAAACTCAGGATTCCAAGAAATCTCAGGGTTCCAAGAAAGAACAAGGCTCCAGAAAATCACGAGATTCCAAGGCGTCGGGCGAGTCGCCACAGCAGTCAGCGTACCCTAAGCCTCACAAAGTTCTGCGTCGCCCCAAGGATCACCAACCAGGCCGCGACTCTGTGCGTCGCGCCGGTGAGAAGACGGTGGTTTTCAAGGAAGCTGCCCATTCGATGCCCCCCTGGGGGCGTTGTCTGGAAAGAGGTTCGTCCGGACGTGCGCCAGGCTATCCTCGCGCGGCTCAGATACGATTCTGCCATGGAGTGGATTGGCAGCGACCGCGCAGCTCACGGGCACTTCTGACAGCCGCAGCTGATCAAGATGCTCGTGGGCATGATGTACTGGCGTCGCCTTGACAAGACCCCCTGGAGTAAGTACGTCCCTGAGGCTTATTACGAAATGGCGGATGAACGTCTGGACAGGTGCCTTCGACGCGGTGATGTGCCACCACCATGGGGGAAACTCGATGACCACATGGTGTACCCTGATGAGGACGCCGATTCCACGGTGGACGACATCGAGAACGACCCGGACTACCAGCCTCCCGCCCACGAACCTGAGGAGAGCGCTTCTAGTAGTAGCTCTGAAGAGGAGAAGGAGGAGGAGGTCGCCCCTGAAACTCTGGAGGACATCGAGGACGCAGAGGACGACGACGACGCAGAGGACGACAATGGGGTAGAAGAACCCCTAGAAGTTAAGCCTCCTGCTAAGCGCCCCCGTTCTGAGTCAAGCAAGAAACCTCAGGGTTCCAACTCGAAGTCGAAGAAGAAACGTCGCACGGGAAACAAGACAGACACTTCTGCCACTCAGGGTTCTAGTGGTACTCAGGGGTCCAAGGCTACATCACGCTCCAAGCATCCGTCGGCGCTCGCGCGGAAATCACACTCGGAGCTCACTTCAAGTGAGTTGATGACGGCCGAAGACCCTGAGGACAACGAGACCTCCTGGCGCATCTATGGGGTTCTTGTGCAATATCCAAGTTCGACCAAGAGTGCGTCTTGCCCGACTCCCGGGTTCCCAGAGTACGAGATCCACAAGTATTCGTACGACGTTGCTCACGAGCGCTGGGACCGTGAGGCATACCATGAAGTCCTGGATTCTGAACCCTGGGAGACTATGCTTCAGGGTCGCTTCCGAGTGTTCTACTTCCATGAGCGAGAACTACTCTCCGCGAAAGCGCTCAAGCTGATGGAGGACGTCGTGGACGCCATGCACAAGCA